ATTATTATTATTATTACCCTCGGAACAAACCTAGGTCATTTGTGTGTAGTTACTAGTTGTATGAGAGGCGTTATTCATATCACACATATTATTTGTGAGGCAGCGTGGTGGAATCAGGCTCTTGTCAAAATAATTAAAGTGAAGAAACTTGCATTTTTCCGCAGGTTTGTGATTTTTTATCGAATTTTCTTTTTTTGGCTCAACAACTTTCATGCCCATTAAAGAACTCATTCCTGTGTGAATGTTTCTGAAAAACGTTGAATAAAGGCACAAAAAATGTAAATTTTCTGTTACCACGCACTGTTAAACTAAGTAAATAACAAGTCTTTGGCGGTCATTTTCTCACTAATTTTACCTTTGAAAACTGGTGACCCCCACCTCCTTCTTTCGCAAATATCTCGACTTGTATTCAAGATCAATGGATATTTTTTTCATCCAAATAAAGACAAGTGAACAAGCTTTAAAATGATACCAATACCTCTACATGCCCAAAAAATTGACGAGAGCCTGATTCCACCATGTTGCCATTATTGTCGCGGATGGTTGGTGCGGGTGCTCTAGTGTGATTTGCTCCTTCTTTACCATCAAACGGCCCTCTCTCTCTCCTCTTTCTTTGTTTTACACTTGTTGTTCTCTTGTAGTACCTCTAATCTTCGGCACTTATTATAATGACCTTATCATGTTGCAAGTGCCGTAAAACTCTAACTAAAAATGTGGATGGTTGGCGAGTGCTCTGGTGTGGTTTGCTCCTTCTTTCCTATCAAACATCTATCGTCCTTATCTCCCCGTCTTCTTTTTTTTATGTAAGTAACTCTCTTGTAACATCTCTATTCCTCTGGCGCTCATATAACCGGATGCTTTTGCGAACGCCATAAAACCTCTACTACAACTAAACTAACTTTAAAAAACCACACACACACACACACACACACACACACACACACACACACACACACACACACACACACACACACACTTATTGTCCTGGCTGGCAAAATGTTTTATTCCGTTTGATAACGTGTGTCTGTTGATTCTAGAGGTGACCAAAGACGACGTGGCAGTGATCAGCCAGTCCGCAGTCCGGGAGGCGGGCAAGGTGGACTATCCCAGGAAGGAAATGTTCCAAACGGACGAAGATAACGTGAGTTGTGCGGTCCGCATGAACAGACAGTATGAGACAATATGAGACAATATGAGACAATATGAGACAATCGGAAACAATTGTTATTGTGTTGTAAGTGTTTGTGCTCTCTCTCTCTCTCTCTCTCTCTCTCTC